CACTCAGGGCTGTGGAGGGTCCTGTGTGCACTGAGGGAGGAGCACTCAGGGCTGTGGAGGGTCCTGTGTGCAGGGAGGGAAGGACAGCGCATGGCTCTGGCAGGGGCAGGCCCTTCTACCAAATCCCTGGGTCTAGCCCCATGCCCCTTCTCTGAGCCACCAGGGACTCTGGTCCCACCCTGCAGCAAGAGTAGTCATGTAAGGGTACCTGATTGTACCGCCCTATGGAGTTCTCCAGCAGACCAGGCCCCTGGGGCCAGGAGGCTGATTCATCTGCTGCTGGGCCTAAGGGAAGCGACAGCCTCTTCCTGCCCACTAGGCAGGGCATGGAGGGAGATGGAGGTACACCCAGGTGCCTGGTGTGAGATTCCAGGAGAAGCAAGAATTTAGCAGTCTGCTGGGGTTTGGTTATTTTGTGGGAAGGGGAGGGAACAACTAATTGGAAAAATGTTAAACACATTTGGGCATTGACCGTAACATTCTTCCCTCCGTCAACACCCAGCCTTAGAAAGCTTTGTCCTGGCTTTGTTGTTAATCTTGAAAACATAAAGGATCTATTTTCCCAATAAAAGAGAGAGAGGGGTGGAGATGGGGAGCGCATGCGCCTCCACACTCATGCCCAGGCCGTCTAGCCCTCCTGGTGCCCCTAAGCGCAGCCCTCTGCGTGGTGTCAGACAGGGCACTGTCCTTCCGGCTGTCCTCCTGGAGTCCCACAGCTCTGGTGCCCCCTTCCTGCTCACAGATGGAAGCATCTATCTCACAGAGTGGTCATGGCATCTCTAGAAGTAACAACCAGATTTCCTTAAGCTTGTCCTTCGCCTGCAAATCCAACTGCCAGAGGGATCTGGGGGAAGACTGAGGGCTCAGGCCAGGGGCAGCCCAGCACCGGGGACCAACACGAGGGTGGTCGGCCTGGAACAGGGCCTCCTCACTTCAAGGCTATCAACCCCACGGTTTGCACACTCTCTGACAGTGCAGCTCATCATATGAAACTCACCCACGTTCAGTAACACCAATTTGGCTAAAAACAGCAAAGTAAAGAGGGTACGCGAGCAGCTCCTGCTTGAAACAGCAGCCACGAGTCTGCCGTCCACATCCACCCTCCCTGGATGTATGTGTGTATGTTTGTGTATAAATGTGTGTGTGTATCTATGTATATATTTTAAATGTAAACTTCTGAAAGGCTGAGATCCCCAGAGTAGGTGAAAACTAAGTAGAAAATGGAGACCACAGTGCTCTTTAAGGGGCTCCTGTCTCCATGCTCAGACCCTGAGTCCTGGGAGGTTGAGTGCTGAGGGCAGTGGGGCCCCAGAAGAGAGATCCTGGGGGTCTCAGAGACAGCCGGTGGGTGGTGGGTGGGTAAGACCTTGCTGCGGGGGGCAGGGAGGGAGGCGGAAGCAGCAGGCACACAGGCCAGACGTCAGGAACTGCTGCCAAGGATAAGGAACACCCCTTATTCTTTGTTTCCTCAGGGAAGGCAGGTACAGTTGAGCCCTTGCTTACCCTAAGCAGACGTGGGCCCACACAGAACTGGTTCCCGGGATCCGGGGGACAGTGGGCTATGGGAAAGTCACCGTACCTGTGCTGCTCAACCCTGCCCTCCCGAGCTCAGCAGGCAATACTGTCAGTCACCCACTTTTGCAAACCAGAAACACGGGTTGTCCAGGGCTTCTTCTGCTGCACCCCTACTCCAAGACCCCACTATGGTCTGGAAAATGAACCCTCAAATCTCTCCTGAATCCCCCCTTTCTTCTACCACACACTGCCCATGCCTCCTGCAAGGCCCCTCCCCGTCTCTGCCAGCACTTACAGGGGACTCGGCTGGGGTTCCTGACTCAGGTCCACAGTGCAACAAGTCTAGAACACTGTCTTCTCTCCCTATACCCCCAGTGCCAAACGCACTGCCTGGCATCCAGTGGGAGCTCAAAATGAACAAATGAACAAATGGCTGATAGGGATGAGGGCGAAGCTGCTCCCAGGTCACGGAGAACCAAACCCCTCGTGCTCAGGCGCCCGAGAGCATCTGCAGAAACAGCAGCAGCCCAGGCAAGCACGGGGGACATCATGCAGGGGGTGCTGTCACAGCCCCCATGCTGGTTCCCCAGGCTCCAGCTGGCACCCCAGTGGGGTCTAGCGCACAGGGAGGAGCTCCCCAAAACTACGGCAGCCTGGTGCCCAATTAGTTTGCCTGGCTGAAGCCATCCAATTAAAGAAAAAGCCACGACAGCAAAGTAGGGATTAGCATCCCAGGACTGCCTGCCCCGTGCTGACTGCTGCCTACAGTGCCCTCGGCCTGGCGGCGGCACTTTGCTGACAAGGAAAACAGACCATGTTTTCAAAACAAAGAAGATGTGGAAGAGGCAGCTGTGCGGCAGCTCAGAGGAGACGCCCTGGGAACAGGCAGACTGGGTGCCTGCTGGCCATGTGCCCCGTGAGGACACTAATCTCTCTGAGCCTCAGTTTCCCCACCGAATGGCGGAGAGGCTAGTGAGAGTGCTCAAGACCACCATCATCACCGTTACTATCACCTGATTTTCACTACCACCTCTGCAGCCTCAAGCAGCTCAAGCTTGCTGAGCCTCGGTTTCTCCACCTGTAGAGTGGCGATTTCCTCCCTGCACGACGGCTTCTGTGCGGATTTAAAAAGGAACACAGAGCCCAGCCCAGGGCGAGTCCTATCAGCAAGGTGGCTGAGGCCGACTCACACAGGTGACCTTCCTGTAGATCTGGGCGGCGTTCTGGCACTCCGAGTAGGGGTACTCTGAGGTGGCCATCTCCAGCATGCACATCCCGAAGGCGTAGACGTCCACAGACTCGTCGTAGTGCTCCTCATACATCTCGGGCGCCATGAACTCAGGGGTACCTGTGCCCGGGAGCAACAGACGCAGTGGTCAGCCACCTCGGGGCCCAGGAACACCAGTGAGCCATGCCCCGGGGCCCATCACCCTTCCTCAGCCCTCCACGTGGTGTACTAAGCTGTCAAGCTCCCAGGGTGGGTCAGCCTTGAGTGAGCGGCCACCTGGGGCTGGCCAGAGGCATCAGTGAGCCAACTGCCCCACACTCTGCACCATCGGATGTGTCCCAGAATCCAGGGTTCACACAGAAATGCTCCACAGACCGACAGGGCCTGAACGAAGCCTTAGGGACGAGTTTGTAGCACCGTCCCTGCCTACAGTGCTGGAAGACTACCACTTCTCAAGGGACAGTCCTGACCCAGAAGCAAGGGAGGTGGCTCTCATCAAGGGGGCACACCCCTGGCACTCTCTCCCTCATCTTCCTACATGCTGTCCTTCTGACGACAGGCCCAGCACTAAGTGGCACCTGCACAACCTGGACAGACAGAAGCTCAGCGGTCGTCACAGAGCTACAACCAGAAAGGCCCCAAGTGTCCCCTAACTGGGGAGCAGCTTCGTACACTGTGACACATCCCCAGGACAGAGCACCCCACTGTCACCACAGACACAGCCTGCACAGGGCAAGGAAGCAAGAGGGGCGCTTCCACCGCCCAGGCATCACAAACTGCTTGTGTGTGTTGTGTTAAATACAATAGCCTCGGAATGATGGTGACTGAATTCCTAATGGCAGGGCAGCTGAGGACAGGCTATGCAGAACAGAGCATAAGACTGCGTGTAGCATAGACCCCACTTGTATAAAACAACGTACGGGGGAAAACGAGTCTGTTTGGGAGGTGGGACTTCTAGTTACATTTGCTGGTGATTTTTTAAATAATAATTTCCTATAATAAGCTCTCCTTTTTATAATAATAAAAACTTTTTATTAACATAGGTCCATTGGGCATCTGTTGTGCTGAATGCAAAGAAAAGGGATGAGAAACTTTTATAAGGCTGTTTTTAACTTCTGTACATTTGTTGACTTTGGGAATTTTGTTTTTACTGTTTTAGTTTTTTTAAAAAAAGCAGATACAAAATATCACAAACTAATTATTGCATGAAAAAGCACACAGGGGGTCAGAAAGTACACAGAAACACTGACAGTAGTTATCTCTGGGGTGGAATGGGTCACGGGTGATTTTAATTTTGGTTTTCATTTGCCCATATTTCCCAGTTCATCATGTATTACGTATTTAACAAAAAAAGCTAACATCTTGGCGAAAAAATGGAGAAAACAAGAATCTACACTTAGATTTACCAACAAGCATAAAGAATTCTGGAAGCATACATCAGAAATCATGGGAACTGAGCAGAGGGGACTGGAGACAGGCAGGGTTCTCGCTTGGCATTTTCCATCCTTTTGGGTTTTCAAACCATGTGACTGCATTGAAAATTTCTGCACTGGTAATTTTTAAGTTAATATTTTTTTACGTTTCTTTCCACCTCTAAGCTGGTCACAAAACAGGGAACACACTGCCAGGCTCAAGTCTGAAGCAAAGATGCCACGCTCCCAGGTGTGGCCTGAGTTAGCCCCACAAGGGCACAGCTCAGAGCCTAACCCAAGCCCAAACCCACTGCCATCAAGTCAATTCCAACTCATAGTGACCTTACAGGACAGAGCAGAACTGCCCCATAGGGTTTTCAAGGCTGTAAATCTTTATGGAAGCAAACTGCCACATTTTTCTCCCACAGAATGGCTGGTGGGTTTGAACCACCAACCTTTCAGTTAGCAGCCGAGCACCTTAACCACTTTGCCACCAGGGATCCTCAGAGCCTGTCCAGCAGGTGACAACTGGCAGCTCTTCTCACGGGGCCCACCCCATCCGAGCCTGCCCTGGGCCAGTTACAGAGAAGCACGACCAGGAGCCACAGCAGCAACACAACACAGCGAGGGGAGCTCACACCGCCGTCTGCAGGGACAGTGAAGGCAGGGCTGCTCAGTGACAAGGGCTGTGTGGAGAGGTGGGCTCGCGTCGAGGCCCCACATACACTCACAGAGGCCACAGGCTGGGTCACAGTGGTACTTCCACCCTAACGTTTTCTGGGCAGGAGCCAGCTCCATGAAGGGCAGGGAAGCAACAATGGCCTCAGCTCTCGCCCCTCACAGCAGCCAGGGCAGGACACCCAGGGCTGAGCAGCCAGAGCCCAGGGCCTGCAGGAGTGGCCGAGGGGCCATACTTGCCCCAGCGGCCCATGCAGCAGTGAGGCCTAGACAGGAGGCCCTTCAACACACAGCTGCCAGACCAGCCCCCAAGCAGCAGGTACTCCCAGGCACACTCTCTCTGAGACCCTCAGGAAGCTGGGAGGGCAGAAAACCCTGCTCTGTAATTACCACTCCAGAGAGCCTGGCCTTACTGAATGGACAGGGGCCCGTGGAGACGGGGACCCAGCTCAACCAAAGGAAGACTCCAAGTCCAGGGCCGAGGAGCTACCAGTAACGCCACTGTGCACGTGCTCTCAGGGACACAGGCATACTCCACTTTTATTCTGAAACTGTAGCCATTTAAATATGAATTTCAAAAATCTTACATGTGTGTATGTATGTATGTGCGTGGTGCATGTGAATATGTGTGAATGCATGTGTGTCTGTGCATGTATGTGTATGCACACATGTGTATGTTCCTGCACTGTGTACGTGTATGTGTGTGAATGCACGTCCTGTGCATGTATATGTGTGCACACTGTGTGTCTCTGTGCATGTATATGTGTATGTGTACGTGTGTGTGCATGTGTGTGTGTGCACACTGAATATGTGTGTGTCCATATGTACAGACATATGTGCTCAGTGCCTACTCAGAAGCCTTCAAATGTGGTACTTGTCACTGTCAGTAGCTATGGGTTGCATCCGCTGTCCTTACTCCGTGGGCTGTGCTGTCATCTGTAAGCCACCAGGTTTCATGGCCAGCAGGCCCCTCTTGCCCCTCTTGCCCCCGTGGGTGCCCAGGAGGGTGTCCACAGACCTTGCAGACATGTCTACCTGTAAAAACTAAGAAGTCACAACTCCTGGTATGGGTCGCTAAGGGCCAAGGCCAGCCTCTCTGCCATTGTGTGTGCGCCACCTCCCCCATCCTGCCTCCAGCATGCAGACCGGGGCTATTCTGGATAAGCGACATCTGAGGTACAGTTCTGTGAGCTTGCGGCATCACAGCATGTCCGCAGAGCTGGGGTCATGACACAGACAATGCCAGCAGCACCCAAGGACCGAGGCTGACCGTGCCTGCGTGCTCACCAACACATTTCCCTCCATTTGCAGGCTCCTCCTCCCACTGGAGCCCCAGGGATGTCTGCCCTTGGCCCGAGCCTTGAGGCCCCTACAATGCTTTCAAGGCAGCACAAAGCCCAGCAGATGCTTTTTCAGAGTTTTCTTGAGCCCTGGGCACACACTGGGAGCCCCTGCTGGTGAGGCATTGCCAAGTGGGCCACAGCTGAAGTGCCAGAGAAAAAGCTTGGATGCCGGGCCAGAAATGAGCTCACGCATCCACTGTCCCCCCCCCGCCCCACCGCAAGGGATGCACAGAAGGAGGCCCCTTCCTGAGGGGCAGGGCAGGGGAAGAAAGGCAGCCACTCCAGGCTGGCCTTTCCACAGGGAATGTGGACCCCAGGAAGACTCAGCCCATTTCACCACCAAGGCAAGCACCTATCTGGATGGCTTGTGCCAATGCCATTAGCAGCCCCTTGCCTGGGTGGGAGTCCCCCCACTGGCAGGCCTGGGTGGGAGTCTCCCCACTGGCAGGCCTGGGTGGGAGTCCCCCCACTGGCAGGCGTGGGTGGGAGTCCCCCCACTGGCAGGCCTGGGTGGCAGTACCCCACTGGCAGGCCTGGGTGGCAGTCCCCCCACTGGCAGGCTTGGGTGGCAGTCCCCCCACTGGCAGGCCTGTGTGGCAGTCCCTGCATTAGCAGGCGTGAGAGTCCCCTCATTAGCAGGCCTAGGTGGGAGTCCCCCCATTAGCAGGCCTGGGTGGGTGCCCCCCCCATAGGCCTCCCGCTCAGCTGTCTGCCTGGTCGCTGACTAGCACCCCAGAGGATCCACACATGTTCCCACGAGGACAAGACAGCTGAGGATGTGAGCTCCCTCATCCCGGCCTCTCTCACTGGGTGCTTCACCCAGGGACACCCAACAGGGCTGGACCTTGTGCTCGCTGAGCACAGCCAGCCTCCATCTTGATGAGCTCACAGTACCCACCCTGGCCCTGCAGCTCAGCCCACTTCAAGGGAAGGGAGCCTGCGGTCCCCAAGCAGCCCTCCTGTCACCCAACTAACCCAGTGTCTGAGACCCCTAACTTTCTGGGGCCAAATTTGCAAAAGCTGCCCTGCAACCACCAAGGATGCAGAGCGCTAGGACGTGTGGCCCACCAGCTGGGTGCTGCTCTGGGCCTCCCCCGGACAGAGTGCACTGTCACCTACCACCTCCCGGCTTCCCATTTCACAAACAGCAACTGAGGGCTGGGGCTGAGAGCAGGCCACGGGATGCCAAAATCCCTGCCCCTATCGCTCCCCACGCCCCCAAGCTACCTGACGCCCTACCAAGGGGCACCCTGGCCGGCCGCCCTCCACGGACTGAACACTCTGAACATACTGCCAACCAAAGCAGTTTTCTGATCCCAACAACGGCTCCATTTCCTGCCAACAGGCCAAGCGCTGCCCCAAAGCATGCCACAAACTACTAACACGCAAAGCCCTGATCTCAGCCTCATCCTGGCCTGCTGCTGCTCCCCAGTGCTCCCACCAGGGACTCGCTCACACAAAGCTCTTCTGACCCAGCTGCCGGACCTCCAGGACACCGTGCTCCAGAAGTCCCAACCAGCAGCTTCACTAGAGTTGGTGTCACCCACCCCATGCTAATTACCACAATATTGTAGTTGAAACACCAGAAAATTTGACAAAATCAGTGACTATAAAAACCACAGCATGTGCTTGTAGCCTGTGCAGACAAAACCATGTGACTCGAAGCATCACTGTATTTGGATAACAATGACAGCTCTGACCAGAGCTCATTAGAAGGTTCAAAAAGTAAATTAGCATAGAGTTTTAGCCTTGTAGGTATACTGATACATGTAACCTGGGCTTATGAAAAATGTTTTTGTTGTTACAACTAACTACAGGGATATTTTTTAAAAAAATAATAAATTCCTGCACAAAAATGATATAGACAGTCATTTTGGTGTCACCCCCTTTGACAATGTCACCCAGTGTGGTCTACCCTCCTCCCCCCCACTAGTGATGTCACTGGTCTGAACCTACACACCCTCCAAGTGCTCTCATTTCAAAATGCTCTCCCACAACAGAGGGTTCTGGACAGAGCTGGAGAAGGATGCAGAGCATAATTCTAACTCACAAAAAAAAGACCAGATTTACCGGCCTAAAGGAGACTGGAGAAACCACAAGAGTATGGCCCCCAGACACCCTTTTAGATCAGGAGAAACTAGCACAACCTGTTCAAGGAAAGGTCATGGAAGCCCCATAGACACATCCAAACTCCCTGAGGGACTGAATTGCTGGGCGGAGGGCTCTGGGGACCATGGTCTCGGGGAACATC